GGAAAAAAGCTCTATGCTTTCTTGAGCCTTATTGCGTCTTGTCTACAGCCAAATACTGCCAACATGTACTTCAAAATGTGTCAAAATAAAATTATATTATATTGATAGAAACAGGATGATGCACTTATAGATAACACATGAATTAAAGCCAAAAAAATAAATATTTTGTAAATATTTTGACTGAAGCCAAGTCATATTCCCCCTCAATTTTTAAAAAATGTTAGAGGTTACATGATTTGCGATTTTTAGTTTGCTTTTTTTTTAACACCAGACCATGTGGAAAAGTTGAGTGATGATGCCTACAGACTATATCAGGAGCCATATTTTCCCCAAAAAATGCACATTACATGAGTCAGTTTAATTTTTGGTATTTTATTTTTCCTTCCACCCCTACTGTGTTGTGTTGCACCTCTGTCTCTGCTGCTCTTTTTTCTCCATCTGCTCATTCCTTCCATCCTTTGAATCTGCTGCCAGAAAAACAAAGAAATGTATACTGAATGACAACAGAACATATGTAGGCAAAATGAGATAGAGGTGCTCGGCAGCGCTCGTCAGCCCTTCGGAAGTCCTCGGGAGTTTTATTGTGAAAGCTCAGCTTTCACAATAAAAAGAAAAAGGCCAACACTTCAACCCACACAGCAACGTTAGAAGGACATAACAACAGTTACGTAGTTGTGTGCGGTATCTTTCGTAACTTATGTGAAAAAAATATCGCTTAATTTATGTGTGGGAAAAGTCGCCAGCCGTACCGAGCCTTCAGGGATTTTCAGCCCGCCTAAGAGCGTCTATCACCGAGGAGGACTGTTCCGCAGCTCCGCCGGCACGCCCCCCTAACACTACACGTTTCACATAATTTTGAAGGAATAAACAGAATTTAAATTATTCATTTACCTGTTTCTGGTAACGGCTCCCCGGAGACGTGAGCCTCAGCCGAGTCAGCCTCCTTGTTTTTGAAAAAACGTCTTATATCCATGATCTTTCGTGTTGTTTCTAAAACGTCTCCCTCCAGCGCGCCAACGGTTTAGATACCGGAAGAGCCTGGTGACGCGAGGCTATCAGCCAATAAAACACGGATGCTTCACGCAACCCCTCTCTCTGATTAACCAGTCTCTACGTCATCCTGTGTTGCATTCTTTGAAAATGGAAAACTACAACTTCTTTAGTGGCTCGTTAATGTACAGTTATCATTATTTCTTCTGAAGTTGAATTATCCGGGGCTTAAGAAAAAACGTTCGGGGCTAAAGCCCCGGATGCCCAGGCCAGGCGACGCCACTGGTCCTACTCCACCTATTTAGACTCCACCGTAGACAACGGCAGCATTTCTCCTACCACGTAGCGAGCCACAAGCTCCGTGGCTTCTTTCAGACTGATAGGTTTAATGTTATCTCCTTTATTAGAACCAAACGACAGCCGTTGCTGTTTCGGAGCTGAAGGACCAGCGTTCTAAAAGTAACGGAAGTAACTGATGTCTTGTTTGAAAATGTACTTAAGTATTTGATTACTCAAACAACAAACTAACGCATTAGGTTACTCCTTACTGCAAAAAGTAATCAAAGTACTCTAACGCGTTACTTTGTAACGCATTATACCCAACTCCCCATAGCTTCCATCAGGTCAAAGACTGTGTCACAGACATCACTGAGTAGCCAAAGTGTGAACTAGAAAAGTGCACTAGTAGAGTGCGTATCTCCACCAGGTGTGTCTTAAGGCGAGTTCACATTACACGACTGGCCGACCAGTCTTGAGTTGCGAAGACTATCGTAATCTTTTGAGTGTTCATACCTGGCGACATGTGTTTTTGTCATCGGGAGTCTCGCCAACTGCGTTACGACCTGTGTGTGCATACCACAAGATTTCTCCACCAAGCCCTTGCCGCCAGAGCCCCAGATAAAGTGGTGACGTCACCAAACTACGTTTTGTCACGCATGAACAAAACAGGATATTATGAAGTTCCCCGGCACTTCTTGTCAATATTGATGTCCAACAGCATGGACATGGAGGTCTGCAGCGGTGAGTTCTATGAATGAAACTCGGTTGCCACTGTGCCGCCCTATTAGCTTGCATTGTACTGTCTATATAGTCTATGCATGTATTCTGACCCAGATTATTGTACCTTTCATAGCTGAATGATCGAACAGGTTTTCGGGAAATGCTATGGATGATAGCGGAGGACTTTGATTTCTTGCTGGGGCTGGTAGAGCCGTACATCTCATTGGCTGATGCTCTTTGTCAGCCATGTCAGACTTCTCCAGTTTTCTAGCATGCCAGATATCCAGTCCCAGTCGCAGACGAGGGGGTGACTTGCTCGTAGGCTTGTTCACACATGAGGACTCGTCGTGGCAGACTATCTGCCAACTCACCTCCGACCCAAGGTGGCTCTCAAGATCCTCTGCTACGTCAAAATTGGGGTGAAAATCGTGTCATGTGAACTAGGCTTAAGGGTATGCGGGTGGAGAACAGGGAATGCAGTGAAGACTGTGTACAACATGTATGCATGACAGAAGTGGAAAAAGGCAAAAATGTGTCCGGCAACAGACTATGTAAGGCTTGCTTTTAGTGTAACTGATGGCTGAAAATGCCTTTTGCTGTGTGATTTTGTGCAAAAGTTGGAAAGGCATTAAAGGGATAGTGCACCCAAAAATGAAAATTCTGCCATTATCTACTCACCCATATGCCAAGGGAGGCTCAGGTGAAGTTTTAGAGTCCTCACATCCCTTGCGGAGATCCAAGGGGAGAGGGGGTAGCAACACAACTCCACCTAATGGAGGCTTACGGCACCCAAGATTCAAACATCCAAAAACACATAATTGAAACCACAAAATATCTCCTTACTGCTCGTCCATAGTGATCCAAGTGTCCTGAAGCCCCGACATAAAAAGTTGTTTGGAAAAACATCATTTGAACTCTGTTTTTAGCCTCATCGTAGCCTGTAGCTCTAACTGCCTTTCTGTGCACCGTGCTCACGTGTATGCGCTTGCGCGAAACCAGCAAAAGCATGTGAACACACATGAACGCATTAATGTGTCCATATCTCACGGTCTCGCGCAAGCGCACACTTGCACTTTGCACTTTTTTTCCGTTTCCACTGCAAAAAGTTTTGGATAGTACTGATGGAACTATTCCGTACCCTTACCATTTTTGGTCACCCCTTCTGTTTGGGTACCTAGCACACAGATCTGGTACTAAAAGATGGAGCTGTGAACACTGCAGTCCACTGATTGGTCAGTAGCAGATGGTCACTCTGCTCAGGGCTGAGTTGTGGCTGGTTTGAGGCAGAAGCCACTGTTCATATCGTGGAGAGTTTTATTAGTAACGACATGATTCAATCAACACACCATATTCCATATGACAACTTCGACTATTACTTTAGTTTTTATATGACATACACTTTTAGTAATGATGGGCTCTTCAAGCGTTTATATGTATTAATTTTGGCCGGGTTATGTGAACTGCATATATTCTAATCCTCACTCAGAGAAAAGAAAAGGGTCACGTAGCATCGAGCTACGGCAACACTAAACCCCCAAGCTTGCCTGAGAAGGACTAAATGCACAAACCCGCTACTTTTAAATATCCCATGGAGAGAGACTCTCACTGCAGCATGGTACCAAGCACCAAGTTTGAAAGACAGACCAAATAAGAGATGTGTAAAAAGAAGTAACCACCATGACATATTTACTGGCCTCCATGCTGCTGTCTACTGTTTACTAACCTGTTTTCTGGACATACTCATCTACAGCAGAGGCATGCCATGTTTTATTGCCTGGGCTTCTTCACTCTCAGTTGTCAATAAGAACAAACTTAATAAGATTGTCAACATGTCCAGCAACATTGCGGGTCAGAAGCAGCGCAGCATGACAGAGCTTTGTGAGTCCCGGGTAGTGGGAAAGGGACAGGCAATCCTCGCTGATGTATTACATCCTCTGCATGGCGAGTATGAATTATTACCATCAGGACGGAGGTACAGAGTGCCGCCTCTTAAGACTTCCCGTGCCCAGAGGTCCTTTATAGCCTACCTTTTAGCATAACTCTCACTCAGAACCTGGGTGATGCTATGTGGGCACTTTGGTTGTATCATCTGTTGTATCGTTTGATGGATGTTTAAATTGTCTTTATTGTAATGTCCAATGTTATGAATTGTCTGAGGGTTTTGTTTGCAGTGTCAAGTGTTTGTGTTGTGGTGTCTTTATTGTAATGTTTTATGTATCTTTTTCTGTTTTCTCTGACGGCCACAGACACAAGAAAAAATTCCGAAAGGACAATAAACAATCTATCTATCTATCTATCTATCTACCTATCTATCTATCTATCTATCTATCTATCTACACAGCTGTGGTTTACTGGCAATGAGAAAGGGGTCTATAGTCTATTTTTAAGCAGGTTTACACATGTTAAAAAAAACACATACACATGGTGGATAAAGTCTATTACCTTCAACCTCAACTTTCATTATGATCTTAACTACACATCTGTAATGTTCTGTGAGCCTGGGATGTAAAATGGGGGTGCAGTGAGGATGAAAGATAAAGGAATGCTGTCAATTCAGCAGAGTCTGAAGGCCGTGACTGACAGTCACAAGCAATAATTCACTGACCATTGTGACCAACTGAATGGAGTGTTTTGCTGATAGCTTTGTGTAATGGGAAATAGAGTGAAGATGGTCTTGGCTGTTTTTATTTTAATAATGCAACCTGTGGAGAAAAAAAGAAAATACATTCCTTCTTTTAATCGCACTGCTTCAGCATAGTTGAAAAAGTCAATTAAGTACAATAGTAGTTTATCATGACATTAAAGGAACACTTCACTAACTGGATTAGTTGCTTAGCAACAGTTTGAGAACACGTTTGAGACACCTCGCCCAGCTCTGTCTGTGAGATCAGTATGATACACCACTAGGTGGCACCAGTTTGTAACATCATTGGCAATGATATAATATAAGGAGCTGAAAAGTCTCAACAGGGCTGATGGGAGGGGCGGTGGATGGGTTGAACAAACCCTGGACTTTCAGCCGGGAGCCTGCTGCTTGCTTCCCATATGAACGTAGAGCCAAACCATGACATCGTTTTTTTTCTAACCCTAGCCACATGCTTGTGTTGCACAAGGAAATAAACTTAAATTGGTGTTTTACTGACATTGTATGTTTATTTTTAAAAAAACAAAAAAACTTGTATGCATCTCATGAGCAGAAACTGCATATTTCCTGTAAAAATGGACATGTATTTTGAAAAGATGCAACGCATGTGACAGGCATCAATTGACCTGCTATCCTGGAACGTCAACAACAAACACAGGAGGATATCTAGCGGGTCATCTGTAGACGTGAATAGCACTGAGCAAGCAGTGATATGTGACCAGTTGGGATGAGTACAGGTTGGTTATACACAAATTAATAGCTCAATCAATCAATCAATCAATCAATTTCAATTATAAAGCCCAACATCACAAATCACAATTTGCCTCAGAGGGCTTTACAGCATACGACATCCCTCTGTCCTTTGGACCCTCACAGCGGATAAGAAAAAATTCCCCCCAAAAAACCCTTTAACGGGGAAAGAAACTGTAGAAATCTCAGGAAGAGCAACTGAGGAAGGATCCCTCTTCCAGGATGGACAGACGTCCAATAGATGTCGTACAGAACAGATCAACATAATAAATTTACAGTGTTCCATATGACAAAATGAGACATGAAGAGAGACAGAGAGAGAGAGATGCAGGACAGACAGTAATGACAGTAGCTTACAACAGCATTAATTTTATGGGGTGCCATTTGTAAAGTGTCTCACGCTGAAAATAACATCAACATTTTGCCACATTTAGCTTCAAACAATGTTTAAAAAAGTACTGTGAATTTTTTAACGTCACCTTTTACCACATTTACAGCAATATTTGTTAACTTAGAAATATATTAAATAGTTAAATCTAAATATTAAATGTGGCACCTAAATGTTAAATGTTAAATCTAAATATTAAATCTAAATCTGA